ACCGTCCCCTCCCTAACCCCTCTATCTTGCAAACCAGCCCCCCTAAACCCCCAACCCCCTTTCTTCCCCCTGTCGTACCCAAATTACAACCACCTCTCCCACTCTTCATCTTCAAGCGAATATTGGAACAAGGTCTACTTGGTAGTCTACAACTTGTAATCTATACAGGTAGACTGAAAAGTTGTGAAAACCAACAAGCCCATCCCACGCCAGCTACTAGAAAAATCAAGGTCTATGTGCTAATCTACAGTTGTAAATTGTAATTCATATAGGTAGCATAAAGCCGCAAGCCTAGCCTATGTCAGCGACAAGGATATTAAGTTGACCACGCACTATTAATATCCAACCAATTACAAAATTCCTATAGAATCCTACTTATACTGTTGCGAGGGATGACCTGCAATCACAGGGAGCCAATGACTCCCCCAAGTGCCCAGATTCTCCCAATCGCGCGCGCGCGCGAGAGAGAGATAGATAGATAGATAGATAGATAGATAGATAGACAGCCCGCTAGGGCTATCCCTGCCCAGCCGGGCCACGGACTGGGCCGCGCGGCTGCACAGCCACGGATGCCTGCCGACCCGCGCGGCCGTTTCTGGTGCGGGGCCGGCGGTGGAGTGAGAGAGTCGCCTGGCACGCGGCAGGGCCTGTGAACGGCCGGCCTCCGCTGCGCTGGGACACGCCTGTTCTCGGAGGTCGTGCGTCCCCCTGGTGGCTGACACATTCTTCCTGGGCGATGAAGACACGGTGCTGCGGACCGACGACAACAATGACTTCACCGAGGCGGAGGTGGTGACTACATTTGCGAGCACGGGGACAAATTACAGACCGGGTGCCATTTCAGCACTGTTTCGGGGCTGCCGAGGGTTTGCGGGCAACAATGGCTTTTAGGTCTGTTGGGGGGTTAGGGGGGAACGGTTTCACATTGGTGTCGGATGTACAGATGACCAGACTGCAAGGCAAATCGCCTATCTGGAGGTATGTCACACAAGGACAGAAGGTGGGGACATGGGAGAAGATGCACGGCGACCACAAGTTGCGCCGCAACTACTGCAAGCTCGTGTACCAAGGAAACGAGTCAAAGGTCGCACGACACTTCACGCGGCGTAAGAGGTGCAAGCAGGCACCGATTCGGCTTTGGTGGACATATGAAACAAGACGGAATACAAGTTTGACGTCCGACACGAGGCTGGTATTCGACAGTACATAGAGGAGCAGGGCATAGTCGACGCCAGATCTTCGTCAAAGCGGGCCACGTAGTGCAGGCAGGTAGAGGGGGCCGTGCACGCCGGCAGGAGGACACTACGGAGGGATCGGTTGTGGACGAGGTGGAGGAGACGAGAGGCCAAGGCCAGACGAGGTACTAGAGAGGTGGGAGGGGAGAGCGGTTCGAGCCCTCCACCTCCGCATTTGAGGGGGGAGGAGGTCGTAATGACTACGCGGGGCACGGGAGTGGACTCCGTGATGGTAAGGATTCTGGCAGAGACAAAGGGAAGAGGAGAACCAATGATGATGACGACGACGTCGTTTCTGTGTCGGGGCGCAAGAGACCTAGACAGATGACGATCGACGAGGTGTACGAGGCAGACGCTCGGTAGCATGCGAGGGACACTTTATGCAGTTTGTGTCTGATGCGGGGATTCATTTTCGTGTTTTCCACAGGAGCTTTTGGAGGAGATATCGTAAGGCCGTGGCAGACTTGCCTCACGGAGTATGGCTCGTGTATCCCTCGTTCAAGGAGAATGGGGGAGGTGGTGTCTTATCTCAGCAAGATCAAGTCGCGAGTATGCTCGCGTACGTCCGCGCATCCTTCAAGGCGATTGGGGCCATTATCTTGACAGACGCTAGGAGGTCTAGAGACTTGCGGCCCATAATTAACTTCCTTGCCGCTGACAAGCATAACGCGCTTTTGTACGCCACAGTGTGTCGAGCTGGTTCCGTTTGTGAGACGACATATATTGTCTTGAGGAGATGGAAGACCATTTGTAGGTCGTTCCCTTCAAATGACATGTTGGCGATCTGCATGGACTTTGCGACCGACTATAAGCTCCTTGCGAAGGACGGTGACCCGGATTTGCGTCGTATTACGCGGCTCCCGTGCTTCACCCACGTCTGCAACTTGATGTTGTCAGACATAGGGACCCGGGTAGACTACATTGCCTCCGCCATTCTTCATGGAAGGGCTTTGGTGCGATTTATCAAAATGCACAACGCTGCTCTTCACCTTTTCAGGTCGAAGAGCAAACGCAAATCGCTTATTTAACCAGTGAAGATGTGATTTGCCTCCGTTTTTCTTATGCTTTTTTGCCTAAAGGAGCATAGACTCGATGTTGCACACCGACCCTTGGGACAACATCTTGTGGGAGTCTCGGTTGGTCAACCAGGCGTTATGGGTGCGGCAGACCATCCGCGACATAAAGTTTTGGCGGGATGTGGACTACGCCATCCTGGTCATAACCCCCATCCACCAGTTGTTGAGGAGATTGGACAGGGGTTGGATGGTGATGTCACTAGTTTACTCTTGGAGTCGACTTGTGGTCGCTGGGTTGCGAGTCTTGCAGGACAGAGCCGCGGTCCCCTCCATGATAGTCGAGGACTACATCAATCAGGTCCTCTCCCGTCGGCAGCATATACTGGAGTCAGCACAAGCTGTGGCGCATCTCCTCAATCCTTGTAGGCGTTCTCTTCAATACTATGACGCAAGGGTGAGAAGTGCAGAGGACTTAGAAGTCGTGCAGGAGTGCGACGACTTCTTCCTTGCCTAAACAGGGGGTGATCGCGAAGGTGCTCGCTACTTGCAGGTGAGTGAGTAGATGAGAGTCAATTCTATGCGCGTATCGGTCTTTTGACGACCGACCTTGCCACGAGGGATGAAGAGGCACGGACATGTAGGGGGGATGACGAGACACCTAGGTGTACTGCTTGGTGGCAAGAGCACAGAGGCGCATACCTTGACCTTCAAGAGATTGCAGCGCATGTGCTGCACATGTGGAAATCAGCCTCTCATGCAGAGAGGAACTGGGCGGAACATGAATGTGTGCACACGGCTAGGAGTAACAGGCTGGAGTTCGCAAAGCTCGCTTAGTTGGTTGAGATTGCCACCAATCTCAAACTATTGCAGTGTTCTGAGAGGTCTGCCGGTTACGTTCTTCCGTAGGGGAACTTAACGCTCTAGAGGAGGTACAGCCGGGGGCGGTGGGGGTGGTTCGGCGGGGCTTGTTGACGAGGAGCCTGAGCCCTTGGCATGAGGAGCGCGGCCTCGGGTGTTACTGACGGATGAGGCGGTGGTGGAGCAAAGACGTCGATTACAACAAGAAGGTAATCGTCATCCTCGTCCTTTGGAGGATGTATTTGGTGTGAGACTCGCGGTGCTCCTCCCCTGCGAGGAGGAGGTGCTGGAGGAGGAGGTTGTGGATGATGTGGTTCGGGCAGCGCGCGACGAGTCCGTTGACTGCGATGAGTAGTGGACCGACCCTGAGGAGATTGCATGTCATGCAGATAAGAGTCTAGAAAGCCTCTACTACGCATAGGGCGGAGATGCCACTGGGCACAACCTTAGTCTACGCTCATTAGAGCAGACGATGACCCTGCACAGGAGGCGAGCGGGAAGGTTTGTGGCACGGGCCGTGGCACATGACATGGTGCAAACACGAGCCGCACTGGCCGTGCCACCCATTCGAGGAGGGTCTTGGGTGTTGATAACACTAACTCGGAGTAGGGCAACGAGGAGGACGACTCCTCATTGCGCGCACATGATTTGTCCGCGCCTGATGTCGGGGGAGGATCTCAACCCCTTAGATGATCGGACAGGCTGGTGAGCCGCGGCGGTAGAGTTCCACAGTTTTAGACTGATTGTTCGCAGCACCTAGAGGACATACAGGTTGATGTGCCTGAGGGTGAGGAGCCTAAGCAGCTCACTCCAGTTTGGCCTGCGGCATCACACAATATTCCTTCAGACTTGCGAACGAGGGACTTCATGGTGGATCGACAGGGTGCGTCCGCCAGTGGCATTGGCAGACGTCAGCACGTTCGAGTGGGTGACATGGCCGACTACTATCCTGCGGGCATGTAGCAGAAGGAGACTCAAGCGGAGCGTGACGCGCGCATGGAACTCAAGGAGGAGAGGCGTTTCGCAAATAAAGTGGGCAGGACTAGTGGCTTATCTGGCGTAGGTGGACCGCATGGGACGGCTAGAGACCATTGGTGCGAGTGGTGTTGTAGACAGTGTAGAGGCTCTACTCGGAGAGGGTGTTGCCTCGCAGCCTTTGGATGAGGGACATATTTCACCAGATCTGCCGACGTCGTCGTCTACTCCCACTGAGCGCCCTACTGCGGCACACCATGCCACTCCCTCACCATCCTCGACCACGAGGGGGGATGCGGGTGTTCCACTTGTGTCTGCATCCCCTCCCGTACCATGAGCCTCAGGGACGCCTGGCAGTGTGTCTCATTCTCCTCTTACCTCAAGGGGAGGAGGATCAGGCACGATTGACTCGGAGTGACATTGTAGTCATACTTATGGCACCTAGAGGTGCGAAAATGGAGCAGGGATTCAGTCATGAGGAGGATGGTGTTGATCACGACGCTGCAGGTTTGGAGGCAGCCGATGCAGACACAGCATTGCCACATATGATGCCTATTTACGTTCAGCCCGTCGAGGATGAGGTCCCCGTAGTAGATATGAGACGATGCGACGAGGAGGCGGCGGGAGGGCAGGGAGCGCCAGGCGAGTCGCGGAGGGATCGTCACACGGTAGGCTCGATAGTCGACATGCAGGGGGTAGCGGCATATTTGGCGGACAGGGCGGGTGTGGAGGATCCGCTGAACGGCACCCCTATTGATCGTGACGAACGTAGTGGTGTCCGAGATGCATCGCCCACAACTTATGCCCCTGCCAGCCGTAGATTTTCTGGATCTCCCCTGAGCGTGGAGCGTAAGGAGGCGGAGTCAGAGAGGATTAGAGCAGAGCGATGGGCAACTTACACTCATATGCGTCCACCAACGTTGGAGACGTCCCGCGCACAGAGCGTTGTGCAACATCCGACACCAAGGAGTGTTGTTGGGAAAGGTCACATGTCTGGGTTGTTGTCACCTTCACAGCAGGATGTTCGGTCGTCTGACCACCGTCCTTGGTCGACTGTGTGCACAGTGGATGAGAGGATTAGGAGAGAGGTTGTTGCAGCGGAGGCACAGCGCATAGAGGGGAGACAGAGGGCAAATCGAGTGGCACAGGAGATAGGACGGGCAGAGAGAGAGGCACGAGAGGGAGGACGGGCCGAGGGTGACAGTGGGGCCCGACCCGATATCGGGACCTAGTATCGTATTTTGGGAGGTCCCCTTCCTGGGAGGGGGCGAGGATTGCACAAGCCAGCTGCCCCAGAGCCGGGAGTGCAGAGTGGGGCGTACACCTCCGGCGAGGAGGCTTTGCGGCCTTTGCCTATGCGGGTGGGGAAGAAATGTCAGGATTCAATGATGGAGATAGAGGATCGTATAGCAGCAGCCCACCAGGTGGAGATTGCAGCGTTGGAGGAGACTTCTATATTGGCAGGGTTGAGGAGGCTGCGCAAGACGTCGATGCAAACACTGAGGAGGAGCCTGAGGGAGGGAGAGAGGAGAGCGGTTTCATCGACACGATGGGCCACATGTAGTCCTCGATTGGCGGGTCACGGTGGTGGGCGTGGTGCCGTCAGTCATAGGGACATGAGCCTTGCTCTGTTCCTCGATTGGCGGGTCACGATGGTGGGCGTGGTGCCGTCAGTCATAGGGACATGAGCCTTGCTCTGTTTTGTGCACGTCTCTAGTTCACTGAGTTTTCCTTAGGTTTGTTTGTAGTCGTCATTATGTAGTATGTAGAAAGATCGACGCAACCTGTTTACATTGGAGACACTCGGAGTGCATTGGCAGTTAGTTGTTTTTTTGCAATGATTTTCTACACGATGATTGGTTATTTTGTTTGTTACACCACTCATGTTGTAGAAAGATCGACGCTACATTGGAGACACTCGGAGTGCATTGGCAGTTAGTTGTTTTTTTGCAATGATCTTTCTACATGATGCTTGGTTATTTTGTTTGTTATACCACTCATGTTGTTTGGCTTATCTGACATTCTGTAATCCCATTTTCTCACACGCAGGCTTTGCATTTGTTTTTTTTTTTACACAGATTTTGACTTGTCGTTCGAGCAAACGTCTCCTTTGTTGAGAGTTGTTACACGTTGTTCAAACCGTACACGATTCTACTCTTTCGTGCAGGTTTATTCATTGACTTTTGTTCTCGTACGAATCCTGGAGAGAGTGGGATTGTGTTAGTCATGTGATATTGCACGTGTGGATGTTCAAACTATGTGTGGACTTTGCTTTTCATGTTTGGTGATGATGTAAGGATGTTTGTTTGCTCATACTCTTAACCCTGTCCATCAACCGAAGATGATTGCAAACATTTTCTTACCAACTTTCGTTTCATTTGTCAGTGGATGCCTCCATATGGCTATGTGGCAAGGCACTGTCTTCTTTTCTATGAATGTTGGGTGCCTTGCAATTGACCTTGAAGGATCTCATGGCGCAATGCGTCTATGGTTGTTGAATGGGAACTCGTATACAGAAAACAATGTAGCATATCCCCTCTAGCCTAAACATGCATGCACCTTCGATATTACAGCCCTTGGGCCTCCTGTAATTGTTGATGTATAAATAACATGAAATTATTGGCAGGGTGGGGGGAGTTGAGTGGGGCGGGTCGGGGGGGGGGGGGGGGTGGTTTGGTTGGTGGGGGGGGGGTTGGGGGCCGAAACGGGGGCTGGTGGGACCGGGGGGGGTGGAATCGGGTGGGAGTTGGCCGGCGGTAGGAGTCTTCTTATTCCTCCTCGCCACCTTCACCTTCCGACACCCATTTACAATTCACAACCCCCAACCCCACCTCCCTCTTTGGCCCCCTCCTTCGCACCCTTAACACACCCCACGGGCCTTAAACCCTCTCCCACCCACGCAACCATACAACTCCCAAATTTTTTAACCCCCCTGCACCCCCTCACCAATTTTATTTTTTTTTGCCAAAACAGGGCGCGCATAACATACCCCCCCCCCCCCCCCCCCCCCCCCCCCCCCCCCCCCCCCCCATCAAATTCGTGATTTGGGGGGGGTAATATTTTTTTCAAGATGCCACAAAATACTGAATATAACCCCCCCTCACATTTCACTCTTTTTTTTTTTTTTTTTTGTCGACCAGGGGCTGACATGTGCAGGCGGCATGAGCGTCCCGATTTTCAGTGCGCGGAACTCGGTTACGCGGCCCCGAGGCGGAGGCTGTAGGATCCGTGGCCGGGGGGAGCACGCAGCTCGGAAGTACCCCTTCAAGCCACGTTGTTGAAGTTATCTATTTTCTTTATCGAACACACCGTCCACCAAACAGAGGGCAACATATCAACATAAGGACGGTTGAAGGAATGAATCCATGAACTTGGCTATGGGAACCGAACACGGCTTCGACTTGCATTCTCATTTGGAAGTCCTACAGTTGACACCAGTGAGCTCATCATATAGTTCTCCTTTAGAACAATCACACAGTGCATTCCCCAAGGAAAGAAGTCGTCCTTACAATTGGTGTTATCTTCCTCCTCAGATGTAGTTCGCATTTATGGCGTGATACATTCAAAATCTTCAGCGGACGACTTTTGCGTGGCCATGGTTACTTGTTTCACAACCTCTGATGAAGAGGGCACGCAGTTGGTAAGCACTGAATATTCATTGAAAAGATAAACCCTCTTCCAATATGTCGTTAGGGCAATGTAGGTACAGTGGTACGCAATTGGTAGCCACCGATTATTCATCAGAGGATGTGTCCACCATACGAGCAAGTCAATTAGCAGTGCAGTCTGATGATGCGATTCATGTTCAAAGTATCTCTGCGTCAGACATGTCCAACAAGAGAGGTGCAAAAAAAATGATAATATTGCGAGTTTTGTCTGCACCTCTCCCAGGGGACAGAAAACCGTATAGCATGACCAATAAAAATCCTAGGAAGAAAGGATAGTACGAAAAAACGAAAGATATGCTATCGAAAAAAAAATTGCTTATCGTATGCGGCATGAAATGTTGCAAGTCTCCGATGTTGTTACAACATCTTGCCGCAGGAAGTTCGCAAGGTTAGAGAAGGATTGTATAATATGATTATAGAAGAACGATCAAAGTGGTGGATGAAAAACCTTGAAGATTTCATGGTCTATGAGGGGGGGCAAATATGTGTGAGACCAGTAGTAGAGTTGCAACGTTCTATTTGCATCAGGGCGTACTGCAAGTTCTGCAATGTTCACGGTGTCTCTTGTAATATGTTCCATAAGTACAAGAAGTGTTCCATAAGTACAAGAAGCGTTCCATAAGTACAAGAAGCGCTTCGAGAATGACTTTGTGCATTGTGAACATGGGCTTACGGGTAGATGTCAACCAAAAGAAATATTTTCTCCATGCTAGCAAGCATGAAACAATTCTTTGAGTGTCATGCAAATAACATTCCGAACAAGGTGGTCCATTGAGGTGTGGTTATAGACCGAAACTTCGCGTTCCTGCTGCTTTCACGAACAGATCGATTTATGAGTCCATTAAATCAGACTTTGTGGCCATTGGCCTCAAAGTCATCTCCGAATCGAATTTGTTAACGAGAGAGAACCCCTGTTTGTTAGACGAAGAAAATATCGTCCGAAGATAAATTTTAATCCTGTGAGGCTTGTTCATGGGGGTACTTTTTCAATCCTTCGTCCATCTGACGACGACATTTCGAAAGGCGTGCCCATTTGCGCGGGCAGAGCACTTTATCCAGTGGTTGGCGATAAAGGTTTTGCACATTACAACAAAGTAGCAGTAGAATATTGATTGCTGATTGGAAAATGTAAGTTGTTTGAAGAACTTTATGATAATGCATGCGAGAATAAATGGAAACAAACTGTGACATACAATGGTAGTCTGCTGACTTAATCGCTTTTGACTGGGAGAGAGAAGCAAAAGGAACAAAGTCGTTTATGATTGGACTTGTCATTCCTCCTAATAATCGAGCGAATGTCGAACCTGCGGTTCAAGATATGAGTGCATCTATTCAAGGGAGTGTCCATGAAGGAGTCGAAAACAATGAGTGCTCATCATAAATATTTTATGTTTCCATTGTGTCCGAGCTGATAATACTTCCGGCTATGAATTTTTGGGACAGACATTATAGAAATGCGTCGACATCAAGACTTCACTTTTACTAGGGTTGTCACATCTGGACTCTCTCAATTCCTTCACTGCTTGCATGCCTTGCAGCTCTAGAGTCATTTTCCTACTTTTTCAGTCTTTCCTCCTGCTCTTCTCTTAACTCTTTAGCTGCTTTCACGCGCTTCAGTTCTCCTTTCTGAGGCTATCTGCATGTTTTTCTTTCAAGTTTTTCACTGCTTTGATGCGGTTATGCTTCATGTCCTCTTCCAACTTTCAGAGTTTCTCTTCATACTGATCCATTCGCGGTTGTTCTATACGCAGTTCTTGAATCCTCAACCTCATGGTTTCAATTTAGGGTTAAGTCTTCGGGTTCAATCCTTGTAACGAAAGTTTTCGTCGTGCTTCATCGTAGTGTCACAAAATTCATCAAAGTGCAATGAAATTCAAAGTTCAAACTTTTTGATAAGGTGTCTTTATCTTCACTCTTTACGTGAGTTTTAATGTATGATGTCGATCAATCATCATGTCGTTTAGGCTCAGTTCCCGTAATGTCCTAAGTTTTCATCACTTCATCGTAGCGTCAGAAAAAACATTGAAGTGTGTTGGAATCCGAAGTTCAAACTCTTTTAAATTCATTGTGTTCATTTTTCACTTGAGTTTCAGTTAACAAGTACTGAATCATGTACATGGCACAAATAAACATCTAAGTGTGTTGGGATCTGAAGTTCAAATTATTTCACATTCTCAATGTGTCATCGCCGTTAATTTTTACTTGAATTGCAATTACCACCGTGTTTTCATATCTTTTGGGCTCACTTCTTGTATCCTGAGTTTTCATCAGTCCATCGTTGTGTCACAAACTTCTTCGTAGTGCGTTGGAATCCGAAGTTCAAACTCTTCACTCTTCACTTGAGTTACAATTTGGAGGCAGTCAATCATGTCCTTCGGGCTCACTTCTCGTATCCTAAGTTTCTTTCTAGTCCAAAATCAGGAAAAATAATAGCATATGAGTACCTATTTGAAATATAATGTCCCCTTTTAACGAATAACATGTTTGATGCACCTTATATAGCTGCTGCATTTGCTGCACACACAAACAGAAACACACACACACGCACACGAACACGCACACATCTGCTGATGCAGCATCTACAACAGCTGCTGCAGTAGTAACTGCTGCTGTGGATTTAGCTGCTGTATTTG